TAATAAATGTCTTTGCTGCTAATCCATAACTTAATGGGTTGTTGTTTTCAACCTGATATTTAGATGTTTTATCTAAATAAAACTACACATTTGTAAGTTGGTTAATAAAATTGTATTTGTTATGAAGTCAATGTGACCATTAAAAAAAAACGTTTTTAGTTCATTGACAACCGCCTGGATATTCTGAACAAGGGGAAGGACCCAGATGACCTCTTTGAGGAGGAGATCCTAAAGTGTGATACAACTACAGGTATGTGTGTGTGTGTGTGAGAGAGAGTTTTTATAACATTACTTTTTTTGTGATTTTCTTCATTTGTAGGAAAAAGCAAATTAGTTGGCAATTTAAAGGTAAATCATTTAATCTTTATTAAAACATTCTTGCTTTTTAATGTGTTTCCTTGTTGTGGAACACAACATGAACACATTTGTATGTTTTGACAGAAAGGGGGAGGAGCGCTCATCCTCAACATGAGGTCCAAAGCAAACATGAGGGTGAGTGAGGGCCAAGGTGCTTTTGCAGTGAGGAGGGCAGGTGCATTCTGTCTGCATTACCAAAACATTTCTCTTCATGATCTTTTGAATCTCTCCCAGGCCAAAGGTCTTGCTAAGTCTGGTTTGAAAAACCTGCTGATGCACAAGGTGGGCCCATGTTTATGCAGGTACGTGCTTCAACTGATACAAAGTCTGCTGTGGTTTCAATAGTTCTTCTTTGTGTGTGTATGTGTGTGTATACTGCAGGCCCACAGCGAAGAACACACCCTTCAAAGAGGAGGATCAGTGTCACACCGTCGTGCCCAGTCTGACTGCCTGCAGAACCGCCTGCCAATCACACAACACTTTGGGATGGTGAGATATCCCTCTAAACAATTCCACAACTCTTGTTCATGCACCAGATGTAAATCTCTTATTAAGGTGGATATACTATCCACATACTGTATACCCTCATCATTACCTAATCTGTCTGTTCTGCTGTGTTACAATGCTTGTTTGTGTCGTCTTTCACCTTTCATTGCTCCATTTCTGTTTCATTGTGCATCACTCCGAAGAAGTAGTTGTCATGTGTGTTTGGGGATGCTGCTGTGGTCTCCCTTTGCTTTGTTACCATGTTACCTCATGTTAGTCACGTCCCCGTCGGCCTGCTCATAAAATTAGGACTCCTGGAGACGAGGACATGATAGACACTGGAGACACATGGGATGGGTGAGCAGTAACTAAGTACATTTACTCAAGTACTCTGGCTCTGGAACCTCTCAGGGCAGGTGCATGCTGGTGGTAAATAAACCTGAGATAAATACTTTGTAAATAAGGAAACCTGGAGAATAAGCCAGACACAAAATTACAGTATATCAAGTCGTTAAAACTGGCTCCATACCAACCAAATTGACTTCAGTGAAAGGGGCCATTCTGCATAATTTATACTTTTACATTTAAGTATATTTGACTGTCAGTGCTTTTAGGGTAAAACTTTGAAGGCAAAACATTTATTGCTAGTTTTACTTAAGGGCTCTGAGTTCCGTCCACCAGCAGGGTTGACAAACAGAGAAATGTGGAAACCCTTCCTGCTCTAATTCCATTATAAACAATAATACACAGCATATACTGTATCTTCTTGTTTGTGCCATTTCTGTGTGCTATCTGTTTGATATCAGAGCTATGTCTGGGCCTGTGACTGAGCCTGACACTGAGTACGAGAAGGATGAAGAGGGTGAAGAGTGACTGCTGTGTGACCCTGAAGAGATGGATCTGCTTGGGGAGATCTTTGACAGCTAGTCGCTAGCTAGTCGGTGTGTGTCGCCCATGCTATTGAAAATTTCAGTCTTAAAATTAGTTTCAATTATAGAATTTCATTTTTTAAAAGGCTACTAAAACAGCTAGACACTGTAGTCATTAGCAAGTGGAGAAAAGAGTACAACTGGTAGGGGTTATTTTCTGCCACAGAGTTGGTGAGGAAACAAGGAAAACTATTATACTTAACGTGGGCGACGCACGCCGACTAGTTTTAAC